CACCCACTTGCCTGGGTTACCTCTCCTTTGTTTGTGGCTAAGAGACATCCTGTACTTTCCCTCCTAGTACTTATCACTGGGTGTTGCAAGTGCCTGTTGGCTGGCCGGTTCCTCTTGACCCTTCCCCCATCTCTCTGCAGATAAAATCTTGTGGCAGCTCAGTCTGCATCACAAAGCTTGGTATATCAATGATGTATGCTGAATGACCGACCTGGCCCTGATCCCCTTTAAAAGACAAAACTCAGCGATACCAAAATCAGTTATTTCAGGCCATCGTCCAAGTGTCTCCAATAGGAAGGTCTCATGGAGGGAGACATTGACTGAGGGTCTAGGGCAGTGATGGTGGACCTGTGGCATGTGTGCTGCGGTGGGCTGTGGGACTGAAAGTTCTACAAGGTTTGCCTACAGTGGTCTAGTGTATGTCACACACTAAGTCAGACCATTTACACAGATGTCATGTTCACAACCCCAGAGCTTCAAGCTGCTAGTCTAGACAGTATCTGAAACTCAGGGGCATAGCTGTCCAATCAGGTGGTTAAGAGCAGACGGAAGGCAGTGACATCATGATAGTCTGCAGCTTGATAGTGGTGAAGGTTGCCAACAGAGCAGGGCCCTGTGCGGCACTGACCCCTGGGTCTGCATCTCTTTTGTGCTTGGCATTTGCAGGAGTACAGACAGATTTGTTGAAGGAATGAATGAAGGCTGAAGAAGGGACACAGAAAGTGCAGCTTAGAGGACACTGGAGGAGCCTTAGAAGGACTGTATTTCTTTCTGAGTCTCAGTTGATGTAAATATTTAATAATAATTATTAAAACCAAACTGGACACTAAAGTATTTTTGGAGTGGGCAGCTACATACAGCACCAGCCAAGGCTGATCCTTGAGATTTCAGCTCAGATTCCATATTCCAAAAATAACTGCAATCCCCACCACCATGCACACAAAGGGAAACTGAGAAATTTGTTTGTGAACCCATGAGGTAAGGAGGATAGATCTAGATGAAAAGTTAGTAACCTCTGCCACAGCAAACAAGGATGGTCTTCCCTCTGCCAGTGTTGCTGGGTGGCCAGGAGCTGTCACAGACTGCATGGTGCTTACTCTTGACCACTCCATCAAGTCGCTGATTTTACGAATGAAAAGACTGCAGTGGGAGAATACAGTGCTCCCTCCAAGTCTGAAGGTTGTTTGCGCCAGAGCCCCTCTGTTTTGCTTAATCTGATGGTACTTTCTTTGCAAAGTAGGTCTTTAAACAAGCAAATCTCATCTCCTTCACAGAAGGAGCTTCAGTGACAAAGTGGGGAAGGGAAAGCAACTCAAATGAAGATGTTGACCATATAATTATTACAGTGGTACTAAGCACAAATGATTCTCTACTCAGAGGGCTCTTTTGTGTCCTGGGGTTTCCAATAGTCTGCATCATTAGGAGCTTCGACTTCCCCATAAAATACTGCAAAGGCATTAAGATGACCACGTGTGGGAGGAATGAAACTTTGGCTTCTTTAATAAAAGAACAATTACTAATTGTGAAGATTTGTGCGATTACTTAACCTTCTTTAAGCTTTCATTCTCTTCCTGGTAAATAAAGATGGTAATATTTACCTCCCTGTTGGGAGCCGCAGCCCCGAGCCCGGTCGCCTCACTTGGCGGACGTGAGGCCTGTAGTAAAGAGTAAAGCCTGAGGTAGATTACCCCTCCCATGGAGTACGTTAGTTTCCTGCTTACCGCGTAAACAACCCGCTCAACAATATAGTCTGCCTGGCAACTGATGATGTTAGCCAATCAGCTTGCCTTGCTTACTTTAACATGATTGGACACTGTATCCGTATATATACCGGTGCCACCCCTGGGGGGAAGTAGAAGCCCGGAAGAAGCCCGGAAGTAGAAGCCCAGAAGGAGCCGCGGGGAGCGGACCAAAGGAGGCTTCGGCTGGGAGCGATCCCAGGGCAGGCTGTACGGAGAAGGAAAATAAAAGAAAAGGTTGTCCACTGCCAGACTTTGTCGTGTGTCCTTCCTGCTGGCCGGGAGCGGACATCGACACCTCCCGAAGAAGAAATGAAAACCACTTGGCACAGTATCTGGTACCTAGCTGGGACCCAGTGAATGTAACTTGTTTTAAATAGTCAAGGTCCTTTCTCTGAATAGCTAGGGCGTCATTACTTCGTATCTGTTGAAATAATCTCTTCCCCACAGGGAAACTTCGAACTGCCATCAACCAGTGTAGTCGGTCTTGATATCTACTGTTGCTAACTTGGTACTGAAAAATCCACGGCTTAATATAAAAACACCTGGGTAGGGGCTGGGGATTTAGCTCAGCGGCATAAGCACCTGCCTTGCAAGCAGGCAGTTGTGAGTTCGATCCCCAGTACCGGTAAAAAAGAAAAAAAAGGAAAACAAAACAAAACAAAACAAAAAACCCCACAACACTTGGCTTCCCAGGACACTGAAATGGGAACAGAAAATAACAGTACCAAATGGCCGCAGGGCCAGAGCCGGGGGACGCTCCCGGAGAAGGGGGCAGAGATTTCAAGTTTGCTTAGGTGGTTGGTGGGCAAAGAGAAGGAGCCGGTGAGTAAAAACGGGAGAAGATGGGGAGCACAGAGAATGAGGAAGAGCACTTTGTGCATAATGAGGGAACTATTTTAGACACAGCTGAACAGTTTTTTTTTTTTTTTTTTTAAGCATGAGAGAGGGAGGTGAGAGACCGCAGTGAGTTTGGGATTTGATCCTAACAGAGATGGAAGTCAGGCAAGGATTTGGAGGAGGGAGGTGTAGAGGGGGAAGGAAGAGGTCAGTGGAGAGCTGCGGAGACAGTGGGAGACAGTGAGCGCTCCGAGTGGGAAAGTCAGGAGCCAGAGGCTGAAGGGCCTGCTTGCTTGTACGTGCTGGAAACTGAAGCCGGGCCTTTGCACATGTGTACTTTCCTGCAGCGCTGCACCCCCACCTTGCAAATTACGACACTTATTTAGTCATTCAACAAACAGTTACCAAAGGCCTGTCTCCTATCTGTATTCCAAGAACTGAAAATAAAATAACTGGACTGGCAAGGTCTCTTATCTCAAGAGGAGATGGAGAATAGGTAAGTAAACAAGCAAGGGGATATTTGATAAGCGCGGGGAGGGAGACAAAACCCCGAGCCAGCAGAGTGCCTGAGCCCCCGCCTCCTCCTTCTCTCCGCACCTGACTCTTTTGAATATTTACAAGCCTCCACTGGATCTAACTTAGGTTTTCCAAGTGGGTTCTGCTCCTAGCAAAATCTCTACGGTAAATCATTAAACCAACTTTGTGGGCACTTGCAATGCGCGGTACCTGAGCAGGAGCAGTCACAGCTAGTCTCCCAGGTCCGATAGATCGGCTTGGATACTTTGGCTTGAGGACCAGGGGTTTGGCCTGAAGTCTCGAGGGGTAAGGTTTGAGGAAGGCTTGCTCGCCACATCCTGGCGACGCTTTCAGAGCAAGATCGGATCTCCTCCCTTTCCTCACTGCCTCTTGCTCAGCGAAAACTCAGGGAAAAAGCGGATAGCGCGGTGGAAAGTGTGCAAGTCTCCCGCGCAAAAATGCGCGCGGTGAGAGTAGGCGGAGCCCCAAGGCTAGTTGGGAAGCCTGAGGGCGCAGGGCGGGGACCCATGCTAGCCTCACTGCCAGGGACGCCCGCTGAACGCAAAACAGTGAGCCTTAAGTTCAGCGGAGCTGCAGAAGCTGGGGACCGAGAGGGCAGACTCCCCACTGTGTCCGGTGGTCTTCCCCTCTTGGACATACTTTTTGTTTTTCAAAAAACTTTTTTCTTTACAATGAAAACTTTCAGAGATAGATAAGATTGCTGTTTTGAGGTTCTCCAGCAAAAACCCTTAGGGCTCTGATTTTGTCCTACTTCGGGTTGCCTGAAACAGGCTGTCCTCCTGGGGACTGTCACAATCGGATGACTGAATTAGGACTCCTGGGCCGGGGATATAGCTCAGCAGCACAAGTGCCTGCTTGGCAAGTGCAAGGTCCTGAGTTTGATTTCCAGTACCAGTAAATAAATAAATAAGGACTCCTGCTCCAAGGGGTCTTTATTGTGGCTTAAGAGAGAAGGCACTAATTTAAAAAAGTAAACCGGGTGTGGTGACAAACACCTATAGTGTAGGAGGATTGCCACAAGTCGAGGCCAGCCTGGGCTATCTAGAGAGTTCAGTGCTAGCCTGGATTACATGGCAAGATCCTGTCTAAAAAAAAAAAAAAAAAAAAAAACAAAGCAGTTCACACGTGACAAGGTAACTTCACAATTCTGTTCCTTTCAAAAATAAACTCAGAACTGAAAGCTACGGGGAGGGGGGGGGGATTTAAATACCTGGCATACACTGGGCCATTCCTATATGCTTGTCCCCCTAGACGTTGCTAACCCATCTCCTACACACTCATACAGGGAACACTGATGCATGTACATTATGTTCAAAAGAAAGCAGGAAACCAGACAGTCTTGTTTGCTATGCTTAAGGACCTCCGAGGGGAAGACAGACATTAAACAAATAATTACATGCATGAAGAGTGTTTCTTAAAGGCAGAGTGGGTAAGTGGAGGGCATCACACTCTGGGAGGTAACCTGGGTTGCAGCAGGGTCAGGAAAGGCCTCTGGGAGGAAGTGATGTTTAAACTGAGGTTTAGGGGATTAGGAAACAGTTTCTACAGGGGGGAAAAATAACATTACATACCAGTATGAAAGACAGCATGAGTCAGAGCATGCTCCTGGCTAAATGAGGAGCTGTGGGTGCTGAAGGTGGAGTAGGAATCCAGGGGTAAACAGAAAGTTGGTTGAGTCAGGCCTTTAAAGATAAATAGGTTGACAGGAGATGGGTGAAAGAGCTTGAAGGGACAGCTATTATTATCCCTATCCTTCTTTCTAGAGAAACAGCTTTTACCTGTTATTTAAGGAAAAACAAGAAGCACAAACTGTATTTATTTGAAACCTACTGCCATACACGGTGGCAATTCTCTTGAGTTCTTACATCTCTCTTTCCAGATAAATATTCTTTTTCTAGTTTGACAGATGAATAAAAAGGTTTGTGAGGACTCTACTGAGCAGGTGACAGCTAAGACCTGAAGGCATGCCTGCCTGGACTTCTGGACCAGTTATTGCCCCTGACTACTGGCTGTAACGGCAATCAAGCTGGGAAAGCAACAGAGATTTAACTAAGGAACCTGAAATACCGTGGAGGAAAGACCGTGGAGAGATACCCCAGGTGGGTGGCCACAGTAGGCAGAAGTTTGGCAGGGTGGGGGCAGGAAGAGAAGCGACCAACGGTGACACTGGAGTACCCAGGATCTCACTGTAGGGAGCTGCCCTACTCTAACCACTACCCTTCCCAGTTAATCATTTCCTGACCTTGCTTCTTCCTAACTCCTGCCTGTAGGATTGCCACGTCAGTCTCCCCCCTGCCCTTGCTGGCCCTCTGACCCTGAGGTTCCTTCTTGGATTTTCCTAGGAGCCCCAACTTTGAGAAAGGGAAGATTTGCCTCGGACTGGCTGTGGTGTAACTGGGACCCTCGCAGCCACTTGAGACCTGTCCATCCCTGACAATTTCTGAGCAGAGGTCACAGGCTGGGATTCCCAGCGCGCAATAGCGAATCACGGGCTTGGTTTCCCTGCAGTAAAAGGGAGCGGGGAGGTCAGTCAGCAGCAGCGGGTAGGGTGTTGCCAGGCTTAAAAGAGGTACTGAGAACAAAGTACCCAGCTGGGAGACCGTGGTCCGTGCCAATACGTTAGGCCCCCGCCTCTTTTGCCACCTGGGAAAAAGGACGTCGGCTCAGCTAACCAGGTTATTTCACTGATTTCCAGAGGCCAGTGAAGCACGAAAGCCCGAGGCTAGAGGTGGAGCATAAGTCAGTCACAGCGGCAGAGCTTGGGCCCAGGTGTCCAGGCGCCTTCGCAGGCTGAGGCCACGTGGTCAGCAGCCGGAAGTGGCTCGCTCGCACTGCCGCAGCGAGGGCTCTAAGTTGGGGGCAGGGCCAGGCCCCGAATCCCTCCGAGACAGTTTCTTCCTGTGTTTTCTTCTTTACACTTTGCTGCGTAGTCACATTTTCTACCACCAAATCGCTGCATAGTAGGTTTCACTGTGTGCAAGCCAGGCTCGTCGTAAATGCAGCGGATCGGACCCGCTCGCCTGGACGGGGCACCCACCCCTCCCCCGGTAAGGTGGAGCCGCGGCCGCCTGAGGCCGCGAAGTTGGGAAAGTCGCTGCGGACCGACCGCCGCGGGGCTCTGAGCCACCAGCCTACGCGCGCCGTGACCCCACCCACTCTCTGGCAGGAACGGGGACGCGTGGGCGGGGCCTGTACCACGAGGGGCGGGGCCACCCTGGGAAGGCGGAAGCCTGTAGTCCGCGGGCGGCGGCAGAACCCGGAGCCCGGAATATGCTGTGCTCAGGAGTGGGGTGCCGGTAGAAGGCAGGCGAGAAAACGCGGCGTCCGGAAGCACTCGCTTTCTTTGACGCAAGGGCTCCGGACGCCGCCGCCGCCGTCGCCGCTGTCTGCCGAGCGCCCCGCGAGGAGCGACCGCAGACAGAGCCTCTAGAGTCTGTGAGCCTCCACAGCCGTGGTCCTCACTGCCGCTGTCCTCGCGGCCATGGAATGTCCGCACCTCAGCGCTAGCGTCTGCATCGCCCCGGACTCCGCCAAGTTCCCCCACGGCTCCCCGTCGTCCTGGTGCTGCAGCGGTGAGTGCGGTCCTGGCCGTCACCCGAGGCCGCGGCTCTTTCGGGCCTGCCGTCGAAGGGCCTGGGCGGCCGGCGCGCGACCAGGGAACGCGGAGGGACCCGGCGCGCCGGAGAGGGGGCGCGCTGAGGCGGGAGCCGCGGCGGCTTCTTTGTTTCCTGCAGCTCGACGGCCCGGCCGGCTGAGGAGAGGCCCGCGAGGGGCGGGCGTTCGGGGGCCGGGACCGGGACGGCTGTGTCACTCCCCGCGTAGCTGCACGTGCGAACGGGCCCGAGCGCCGTTCTCCACGGGCCGGACGGGAAAAACGCCGCTGGGCCGGCGCAGCTTTGTTTGGGTCGCCGCCTGCCTCAGCCGCGCTCGGGTCCCTTCCCCGCCGGCTCCTGCAGCCTCGTAAGCCTGGGCGGCCAAGGCTGGCGTCTTTCATCAACCGGGGAGGGGGAAGTTTGAGAACAAACTGCGGGCTCCGCAGCTCGGGAGATCCAGCCCATAGCTGCTTCGGAGGAACGGCTCGAGTTTGCATTGCTAAGATTGTTTCAGGACAGTCTTTTGAGTTGCCTGGAATTGCATTGGGATTCCTGAGTTCGTGCTTTGGAAAACAGTTATTTGGTTCAAGAGATGCTTGGGAATAGTCTAAGCATTTTAACTCTTCCCACCGGCCCCCTGGGAAACGTTTAGTGTGCCCTCGCATTGTCTGTTCTAAGCGACTTAGGATCGCACCAGCCTCCCTGCTTTGATTACTTCCTGGTAGGGCCCTGGTGCCGCTAAAGCCTTTGTTTATTAGCTTCAAGATGAGCACTGGTAGCGTGGCTTGTAGAGTACAATTCGAATTGTGCACTTCAGAATTTCCTTAACTTGATTTGAAGAAATGTAGAAAAACAGCGAATGTACGACTTAACATTGTGTGGCATTTCTCAATGTGGGCTGGAGCTGGGAAATTAGAGAATGGTAACACTTTTGACAGGTTACCTCTTAAAGAGTAATTCTGTTCGTAGAGGAGAAAAATATTGGTAGTGCTACAAAGCAAAATGTATTCCAAGATAAGGAATAGAAATAACCACAGCCTCCCCTCCCGCGGCGTTTGACGCTTTGCTGCCTTTGTAAAGTCAGATGTGTTTTTCCACATGAAGCTTCTAAAAATTAACCAGTTAGTTGGTTTCACCAGGGCAGTATTGCAGTTCTTTTGTGAGGGTGCAGACATTTGTGTAAATTACAGTAGCTCTTACCTATGTATCTTCAACGTTGAATGTTGAATATGGAACCAAAAAAGGTGTATCCCCGTCACTTTACAGTTTGGTGGCACATTAACTGTAGTTATGGTTCCATTGACTGTTACTTACATTTTTACAAAAGAGGTTTGAAAAAAAATGACCACAGTAAACAAGTAGGAAAAGCCTACCTCACGAGGAAAGCCTACCTCACAAGGAATGAAGCAATTACTCTGGCTCATCTGTAGTAAACTACAGGAACACAAAGTGGTCAATTAGCACACTTGAGGGTTTTTGTAGGTAAAATCACACCAAACTGAAAAATGTCATGGGCATATGCGTCTAAAAAACACTGGCACTATCCAAGTGACAGATAACTTGCTGTGAATCAGTCTTACCTGGCCTGATTGTGGAACAGAGAGGCAGAAAAGCATTTCTTGAGGAATTCAGTAAGTTAAAATGAAGCTTGTGTGGATAACAAGAAAAACTGGTATGTTTTGCTCTAAGGGAACAGTGCTTTCTGGGCAAGGGTTAGGGTGGCATCTTCGCATCTTGCAACCAAGTTTGCTCCAGACTACTTTGCAAGGATCGTTCTAGTCTTTTGCTTGGATTTGTACAACCACTAAAGCTAGTTTCCCAGCTTCATTGGTGTGTGTGTGTGTGTGTGTGTGTGTGTGTGTGTGTATGTGTGTGTGTATGTATCTGTCCAAATTTAGTGAATTTAGCCCATCTCATTGGGGTCTCTCGTTTAACTTACTGGCATCCATTTGTTGATGCCATTTTGTTTTTGCCTGCCTCTTGTTTCAGTGATTAAATGATTAGTAAATCTGTGGGTCCTCAAATCACTCATCATCATCTTAGAGCATTATGCATTATGGTATTTATTTCTCCAACACTTATATTTTATTTTATTTTTGGTAGAGGACGAAAATAATAGTTGGCATGTTGGATAATGCTGTGAGTGATATTGAATCTGATTACGTTCTTATAAGGAGGAGGAAGTCTCTGTTTTGGCACCAGGACAATGAAAGTAATGCTCTTGCCTTATTTTCATTGGGCATCCAAGCATATTGCAAAAGATCAACATGCGAGGCCCTACTGGCTCACATTACATCCTTGCTGTATTGTAATACTGTATCCTTTGAGTATTAATTTTCATTATATTAGCAGCTAAAAAAAGGAAACTATTTTGCATTTACTTTACAGGTTGCTGTTAAGGTGAACAAGGTGATTTTATTTTGTGTTTGAAAACTTTGACAGACTGCTATGTTCTATCCAGATAATAGGTGGTATAGTGACAGATGATCGGAAGAACATCTTTATAAAGACGACTCTGAATAATTAAATATCCAAAGCCCATTACATGGAGCCTATAACAGACTGGCTTTATGCTGAATTATGCTTTGCAAGGAGATGTAGATGTAAACTCAACCAGATTAAGGGGTAAGAAGTAATTATAATTTAGAATTAGCTTGAGCTTTTTATCTGGGAAGGCACTGTGTGTTAGGTACATAAATTGTATTCTTCGGTGTGTTTCTCACATTTTTTGTTCTTAAACATTTTTTGAGGACCAAGAAAGCCTTTGTTTGCATGGCTTATGTTTATTGATACCATGGTATTAGAAATTAAAACTGAGAAAAATTTTAAAATATGTATTTACAAGTAACAATAATGAATCCAATATCTTTTAACATAAATGAAAAATTATGTAAAATATGTTTTTCTTTATTTTATTTTAATCTTTGGTACTGGGATTGAACTCAAGACCTCGCGCTTGCCAGTAAAACATGTGTTTCAAAACAAAAATTCAGTGAACGTGGCATTATTTTACTATTTGCAACATTTTTAGTGTAATGGAAGACAACTAGATTTGTTATCTGCCTCTGCATCCCATCTCAGCTATCCCACTTCATGGAGCTTCTGGAAACTCCATTGCATGTTCTTGAGAGAATGAGTAAGCAATAAAACTAATGTGAATATTTCTTACAAAAATAGTTTTGACTTTCAAAGGTCAAAACCCTGAAAAGGTCTTGAAATCTCTCAGGAGTTTACACCACAATTTGAGAACTTACTACTATACAACTGTTGTTACCATTAAGGACACCTACATAATTTTATCAAAGTAGCTTTTAAAAAAATTAGGGAAATATGAGCCAGATTCATGTCATCTGCCTGAAACCCCAGCATTCTGGGAGGCTGAGGTAGGAAGATAGCAATTTAGAGATTTAGCAAGACCCTGTCTTTACAGAATGGAGGGGAGACAGTGAGGATGTAGCTCATTGAAATGGCCCTAGGTCACCAGTACAGAAAAAGAATTACAGAAA